TATCACCCAACTAAATATTTAATATGTTTAAGTATTTCTTCATAGCATGTTTCTCAAACATACATATTAGATCATGTGTGTGTGTGTGTCTATATATATAGACACACACACACACATATATAATGTTACACATTTACTTTGCAAGGAAGATACTTAAATGTATTTCTTCTATTTTATATAAGTAGATCAAAAATTTTACATAAAATAGAATAAAATGTTGGATTCATTGTTTTCTTTCTACATAAAGGGAACTTATATACCACACAGTTGAGCTTTTTTCTTTCTGTGAATTCATTTTCTCTTCAGCTAATTTATGGCATTATTTAAAACTTATAATTTATGTTCAAAGTCTTTATATCTCCAAAATTTTAAGTCACAGGTATTTTGTATTGTTTCACTGATGTTTGCCAATAATTATTTATAAGTTTATCTCAACACAATCTGAATATCTGTTTGTAAAAGCATCAGAGAATATGAGCTCAAAGTGTTAGCATTACATGAAAAACTTTGTGACTTTCCTCATTTTAATTTTGTTCTTTATTTTTGCTCTAATTCAAGAAAAGTACAGGTAAAATAGATAGGGAGGATCCTCGGTTCTGTGATTGGCTGGCATTTACCCCCAAGTCTTTCAAATAAGATTGAATAAAAGGTGACATGAAATTCAGAAACAATCTTTAAGCATATTCTTGTCAATATTGTATGATGCCATTCTGCAACTATAAAATTTTTGTGTATCTGTCAAAAATGCAAAGCTATATTCAATAATGAGGATAGCAGAAATTTGAGACTTCATGTTCATTTCTTTTTGTAACAGGAAGGTCAGCCTTTTGAAAAGGGATAGAAATTAACATTACTCCAGATGAGGTTATCTCTTAATTCCTGCATTTTACTTTGTTTGATAAATGGGCGAAATATTAACTTTATTTATTTGCGGGTAAGGGGAGGGCTATGAAACTGCAAATTTCAGCTGGCATTGCACTCTGCTGATAAGAATGGGAGTTTTCACCACTCTGAAGAGATTACATGAAGTAAAATTGGAAAGCAAATTGTATTTACAGAAGATAGGATGATGTTCCTAATAGGTGTTCAGAATAGACTATTCACTCTCCTATTCTGCTGAGCTTTACTAGAAATAACTGCATTTCAAAAAGGACAAATCTGATTGAAGGTAAAAGCATTCTCTCTCCTCAGATACTCGTCCAAAGAGTTTACATTAAATTTTTCTGATGGGCACACAGCAGTATTTTATGCTGTATCTATATAAACTAGTAATGTGGAAAATAAAAATCTTAATAGTATACTTGATTGCTTCATGTACCAACCATTAGATTACTAGATTTATGTCTACAATTTTGGAAGAGATGTTGCAATATGATGTTTGACAATAACTGTCAAACTCATAATACCAGGATGTATTTTCATCTTGTTGTTGAGGTAACGTTATTAAAATTCACAGTTGGAAGGTCAGAAAGATCACTTACTATCCCTTGTCATCTGTGGTTTAATGCTGACCTAAACAGCTACTATATAATGTGGAAATTATCACAGTGTCCAGGCTGCAGAAGCACAACATGCTATGTGATTTATTGCATTTCCTCTCTGGAATGAAGATTATGAAAAAGCTAACAACTGTGAGCTACAGTGGCTTAGAAGAAACTCAGTTTCTCATTTTTCTTTCTCTTTTTCCTTATACATTTTAGATTTTGGATTTAGTAAAGGGGACACATTACCAGGTAGCCTGTCAAAAGTACTTCGAGATGATACATAATGTAAGTAAATTTTTTAACTTTATATCCTAATTCTTCGTCTTCTGTTACTCTGTGTTTCTTTCTCTTTTTCCTTATACATTTTAGATTTTGGATTTAGTAAAGGGGACACATTACCAGGTGGCCTGTCAAAAGTACTTCGAGATGATACATAATGTAAGTAAATTTTTTAACTTTATATCCTAATTCTTTGTCTTCTGTTACTCTGTGTTTCCATTCAGGGTTTTTAGCTACAGCAGTGGAAACTTCTCTAGCTATTTTCAGCAGAAAGGGATTTATTACATGATATTAGGTAACAAAATGTATAGAAGGGCCAGAGAACTAAGCTTAGATGCTGGAGAACTGGAATATTGTGACTAGGAGATGCTACATCATGAGAAAATCTTATTTTACTACAGCTGTCACCCACCAGTCCTTATCTAGGGACAAGACCAAGAGTTGATAAACTTTTTCTGTAAAAAGCCAAATTGGAAAACTTTCAGGTTTTTATGGTTCATATGGTCTTTGTCACAAATACTCTAGCTCTGCTGTTGTAGTGCAAAATCAGCCACAGAAAATATGTAAATGAGTGAGCATGGCTGGCACCCACTAGAACTTTATTAATAAAAATAGGTAGTGGACCAGATTTGACCCACAGGCATTAGTTTGCCAACCCCTGTACTAGAGCTAGAACCTTTGGTACAGCTGCCCAGAAGAACCAAAGGCTTTTGTCATCTTCCATGCCAAAAACCTGATTTTTCTACTTGAGGCTGCCACCTCGTTACTCTAATCCTCTTCCCAAGTGGATTCCCAAGTTTCATATTTATCTGCATGGTAGAACCATGGGCACTCCTAACTGCAAGGGAGTCAGGGAAAATGGGTTTGGTTTTTATCTTGCCAGCCTCCTTAGTATAAACAGGCCTGCTGGGTTATCGGAATGAGTGCCGAATGATCCAGTTAGTCACATGAATAGGCTGTGAGATGTGTAAAGCAAGGGTCACAAACTTAGATTGGACAAATACCCCCAAAAAGTGAAGGTGGCCAAGATTAATACCAGAGAGTGGTAGGAACTATGGCGCACTGGAGAGTTTATGACCTGTTAGAGGCATTCATACTGACAAATTTTAAAGCCCTGTACAAGCAAACGAAACACATCTGAAGGTCAGATAAATACCATCGGCCCCCAGTTTGCAACCACTGCTCCTGAGCATAGATTCCTAACCTGGGACAGGCATCGAGTAATGGACTTTGGAGGTCCATGCATCTCGTGAAACAATTTGTCTCTGAGTACATATGTGCGTTTTTCTGAAGTCCATGGTATTTATCAGGATTCAAAGGGATCAGTGACCCTCCCAAAAAAGATGTTGCATTTATTGATTTCATCAATTACTTTTATGTTTTCTATTTAGTTGTTGTAAAATAAATGTTCTATTCTGGCTATATAATTGCATAATTTATAACTTGATAAAATATTTCATAGGAAAAATAAGCATATTCTGTAATACTACCAGTAATAATTAAAATAATGATGATAATACCAGCTAAT